CGGTATACGTTCAATAATAAAGATGATTTCGATGGGCTGAACATTTGGCTTTAAAAAGGCAGGGCCTTACTCAGAACTAGGCTGAATTGGTTCGCTTTAAATAGATTCCGTATGTAATTGTTAGGTCTAAAAAATGCGTGAGTTCTTATTGGTCAAAAATTGAGGTCGACATGTATTTAAAAAAAAAAGAAATTAGGTAATGGCAGAAGATTGTAATTAACTTGAAAAATCATGGGAAGATAAGAATCACTCAATAATAATAATATAAAATTTGGGACAAAAGTAAAGAGAAAACATAGCTGCAAGTCAGTGAATTTTTTTTCTACGTTTAAGAGAGGCTGAAAATTTAGTAAAGAAATTAAAATTAACTTGATAAATTATAGAAAATGAATAGTCAAGGGGGAATCTGATAGAGATAACTACAAAGTCGATACTATATAATATTGATATTTGATATTCAACAAAATTTTATAATTATGTTTAATAGATTATGTAATAACCTACAAAAGCTTTGACCAAATTCATGAGAGATCTAAAAATGACATCTCTAACGGGTTCTTACTCTTTTAGATTCACTTATTAAAACCCTAGATTATTGGCTTGGATCTTCTATTTTCTCGAGTTTCAAAAGAATCCCAGTTTCTGATTGTCGTTAGTTTAATATTTTTGGAGTTGAAATTTACTTAAACTTATACGTCTTTTTCTTTTTTATTTGTTGATAGACTTATTGATGATTATCATCAAGATAAAAAGATATTTAAACCCTACAAGAAAAGATAAAAAAAAAAAGCTAGATCAGAGCCCATGAAGAATTTTCCACCCCTTGCACTGATTCGTCTCTTTTGTTAACACTAAGGCCTCGATTAAAGCAGTAGCATTATGCTGCAGAAGTAGTATGCTGCAGAAGCTGTATGGTTTCATTAAATTTTTTAATAAAGTGATTGGCAGAGCATTAGCAGTATACAATTTTAAAATTGTCATAATAGTTTGCAAACTAATATATTTCTTTTAAAATAATATATATTTATATTATAAATATATATATATAATATATTAAAAATATATATTTTTATTAAAATAAGGAATTTATTCATTATATAAATTATATTTAAAATGTAAAATTTATTTAAAATAATGAATTTTATTCATTATATAAATTATATTTAAAAATGTAAAATTTATTTTAAAAATATTAAATTATTTTTGGATATTAACATATATTAATATTATTAAATAAAATAATTAACTATAATTTATATATAAATTATTATTACTTATTTATTTATTGGTAGAGCATTAAATGAATCATATATAAAATTATCATAAAAGTTAATATATAATTCATTTATTAGTGTCTAAATAATATGTTTATATCGATAATATATAAATTATATTATGTTATGTTTGTTATTAAAAATAATGAATGATATATGTAACTATATAGATTATATTATATTTTAAATGTGAAATATTTTTCTTTTTAAAAAATTATAATTTTTATTCTTATTTTTTAAAATATAAATTTATATTTAATTATAAAAAATGTTGTTTATATTATCAAACAAAAATAAATTAATTATATATAAATATTATTAAATTTTATATTTTCTATATGCAAATGCTCTCCCAAAAGCTCTATATGAGAGCATTGGGCAAAGAGCATTTGGAGAGCATTTACATTTGGTAAATGCTTTTCTAAATGCTTCTTTGTCAAATGTTGATTAGATAATAGAGAGCATAATGCTTATGCTAATACTCTACGAATCAACCCCTAAGCTGAATGGAAAAACTATGGCGTCGATTTCTGCATCTATCCAATCAACTCCACTGGCTTTACCATGCATTAGAACTAGTTGGTTTCCGTTAACCAAGTCATTCTTCTTATAGCATAGATGCTCGATCATGAAGAGGTAAAGATAATCTCTGAAGTCATGTCCTTGCTTGACGTCTTTTCTTCCTATCTTGGTTACTTGTTTAGATGGCTCTACATAAGGGTTTAGATGGTTGTATATATAGTAAAGGGGATGTAGGTTTTGATAGAGATTACACGCATGGAAATATTTGGTAAATCCTTGGAATATACTTTGTTAATGATTCGCAATATATTTTGTTTCTAGTTGGCTACTAACTTTTTAAAACTGAATATATTGTTGTTAGACCAGAACTAAATTTATGTGTTTATGGAGCGAGATTTTAAACTGATATACATTATTCGTATCTATTTAAGTAACAACTTTATAAGATTATGGATTTGGATGTTTAAAGTTGTTCGTTTTAGATATTATATACCAGAATTGTTAATTTTTGGAAGAAACAATGTAGTTATTATGTAGTTTAATTAGATAAATATATAAGTTTTTTAACAACTTTGCATTTGAAAAAAATTGACAAATCGGATGTTGTTATTATGCTTGTGAGTATTACAAAAATATTTGTAATGAATATAGAAACCATAAATAACCTCCAGATACACATATTTTTTGTGTAGTAGGTTATACACTTATACATAATAATATTTATGGGTAAGCAATGAATATGTGATTGCTGAAGGTTTATACATAAATGTCTAGTTCTTGTAAATCATTCTTTAGCGTTAAAGTTATCAGATAATGCACTATAGGTTTAACAACAATGATGCATATTGTTTAACTTATAGACATGGAGGACCCAGATATATATATATATATATATATATATAAAACGTATGGTAAATGAACCAAATAATCGGAATAGTTTATATGTATATATGCGATGGAAGATCTGCGTTTTCTATTAAATTGTTTGTTAAGAAAATAAAACCATTTAATTTAAAGAATAGATAAAAAGGATTTCAGTGGCATAGAATCGTAAATATCTTTAAAAGAGAAGGGCACCCGAAAAAATGCCTTTTGTTTTAAAATATTCCATCGGGTCAAAACCACTTTACTCGGGTAAAACCGGTTTGATATAAATCGTAGATTAAAAAATAATTCAGTGGCATTCGGTTGTAAATACTTTCAAAAGAAAATGACACTTTAAAAAAGTGACTTCTATTTTAATAGTATAGATTTATAATATTTTGAAACTTTATAAAATTCCATGCTCTAAAAGAATATATTAATGTTGAACTCTTTTAACTTGACAAACAAAATAATTAAATAATATATTTTTTGTTGGCCGAAAATATAGTGCCAGATAATAGTATCAGCCGTCAAACATTCATTTTAGATAATTTAGTTGCTAATAAAAAATTATTATCCCTTAAATATTTAGTTTTGATATTAAGTTACCTTTATTTAGCATTATATTTATAATGCTTTAAATACTGTTACATATTTTGTAGGACTATCTATATTATTAAAGTTGAAGTACATTTGAGAGTTGTTTGGAAACATGGATAGTAGTTTAAATGAGAATTTTTTTGAAACATGGATAACAAAATAAAAAAAATATATTCTTTTAATAATTTCATTAATTATATTACCTTAACAATACATCACATAATTAATTATATTTCACATCATTAATTATATTTACCTTTAACAATACATCAAATCATTATTATCTATCTAATTAAAGTAGAAGTACCAATTGGATAACAAGTATATCTATCAAATCTTAACATATTTTTGGATGGGCTAAGGTATACTATAATTTAGACAGGCTCATAATGATATTGTTAACAAATCTCTCATATGATTTTGTTAATAAATACCAATAATATCTTCCCTTAATTAACCTACGTTTTGTTCAAAAAATACCAATAATATATATTTCCAAAAATTTAAAAATAAAGTCATTTAAAAAACATTTTTAATAGATCATGATTTTCTTTTAAAATAATAAAAAATTAAAAATAATATTGAATTTTATTGACAAAATATATTATTTTAAAAAAAATTAATGAAAATGTTTATTTTTTTAGATAAAATATTACGTGGGGAACTCGCAGGTTACCCACAAAATTAAGCGGGGAGGATGTGGTATGGTGAATTTTGAATCGTGGGTTGAACGGGTCAAAATTTTAAGTAAAAAAAAATAGTTGACTTGCGGGTTATATATGACTAACGGGTTTAAAACATATCAGCTAACAAAACTTCTGATAGAATGGTACTTGAAGAACATATGTCAATCCGAGTTATATACGACAAGAGAATCTAAAAATATTCTATTATTTGTGAAATGAAATTAAGTTTTGGGTTTTTAATTTGGTACGTTCAGTTTGCGGCTTCGAATAAATATATCCAAACATGTACTCTCCGTTTACAAATGTGGTTAGATATTTAATAAAAACAATAAAAACAATTAAAAACAAAACCCTCCCTTTTCAAGGCGGGTTAAAATCTAGTTTCAAATTTAAAGAACAACCTTCTAATAGTAGATAGAAATAGAAGTCCAAATTAATATATTAGTTTTTTAATCTTATTATTAATAAATGCTAATATTGAATGTTAGTTAAATCTAATGGTCAATTTTGATATTAAGTAGATTGAAAAAGGTTTGTGTTCTAATAACACAACTAGATTAACGTTTTGCAAACACGGAATATTTTATCTATTAGTTTGTAAGAGTTTTTTGTATTTAAATATTTTTTTTCATTTAAATTAGTGTTTTAAAATTCGACATGGATATTTAAAACCTGTAAAATCACTAAAATCTGAGACTAATCGATTGAATCAATGAATGATTGATTTGTAACCCAGTTTGATTTAAATTTTTATAGTTTCTTTGTCACTTCTAATCCAAATTTGGAACTTCTTTATTTTGCAATTTTGTGAAAAAATGATGTTTCTACACAATTTTGATAGAGAAAATGATAAATATAAAATAATTAATAACAATAAATATGTCTTGATCATATTACCCTGTGATTGACATAGATGTATACAATGTTTATAACTTATCAACTTCTGTTGAATATGAAGAAAAAGTGCAAAACTGGACAGAAACATCTTCAAGAATGGGATAGGAAACATGGCTATTTAAGCCAAATTTTACAAGGACAAGTTAAAAAAGAGTATCTATTCATTGTGCTTTCCTACCTTTGGATTTTTCAAGTGAGGAAAAGCTTGTAGAATGTTGTATGGCCTTAGATCTTGCCTGGTCAAGATCCCCACCACAGGAGACATCTGCGAGGATATTAGTGGTAGATTCATTAGAAACAAGCATGAAAGTAAAGTTAGAGTCAATGGGATAATAAACTCACTCCTGAAGCTTGAATCTTGGGAACAATAAGCAAATGCCTTAGTCCCACTTGCCTGAACAGCACCAAAGCCTTGGCCACAGACATGTTCTCCATAACTGTGTAAGGGGTTGTGTTTGTAAGAGGATGAAGATCAACATACATTTCCATTTCAGAGCTTGTGATGGCAACATCGTCAAAGTTATCTTCTCTCTCAGCCAATTCATCCCATGGAAACTTCTCCCTGACCTCCCACTCCTCTGTTCTTCTCTTCTCTGTCAAGAACCATCTCTTTTTCAGAACTTTAACGAGGTGAGATCTCAAGATCAATCCATGGAGTTCTATTTGAGGTACTACTTCTTCTTTATCAAGAACAGGGAATGCATTATGTGTTGTGTTCTTTAGCACATCAACTATTCTAGCAACTTTTTCTACACCTTGAAGGGTTACAACAGGTGGCTTAGCATCACCAAGGTCACCAACTGAGAGGTTCCTCATCCATGGCTCTGGATTTGCTTCTAGGAATGGTAAGCCCTTAAGATGCAATATGATGTCATAGATACTTGGGTTAAAACTGTCTCCAACAGTTTTGGCAATGAGAAGCACAATCATTGTAATGGGAAGCAAAAGAAGATTGTTGGTGAGCTCCAGGAAGATAACACAGAGTGAAACAGTCATTCTCATCGACCCTGCCATGAGTGAAGCTGCACCAAGAACCGCGTAAAGCCCTTGGTCAATGCTGGTGTACGATCCCATCACTCCACCAAGCATACGACCATATGCAGAACCCATGAGGATGATTGGGAGGAAGAGACCGGAAGGTGTTGCAATACCAAATGTGAAAAGCCCCAAGATGCAGTAGAGTACAAAGAAGATCCATAGAGAACCCATGCTGAACTCATTAGGAGTGTTGGAGGAGAAGATGTTTCTTACAGCATCATCATTGGTGGTGAGAAGAAGAGTAGCTAGATCACTGTAGTAACCTTTAGGACAATGGAACTGTTTGAAGTTGCCTGATCTTCCATTTGTGGGGCATCTCTCCTCAATGGAAGGGTCACAAGGCTTGCATGTCGCTAGGAAAGGAAGACCATAGAGACAAACTGATGTGAAGAGAGACACTAAAAGACTTAGAAGCACCTTGTGGATCTTACCCTTCCTGCAAAATGACCAAACATGGTAAGTAAGTGACTAAAGAGGTTTAGTTTCAAATGCTATTATAAATTTTTTAACTATTAGTATTCAAATGCTATTATAAAATCAAAAGCCGAAAAAACTAATTTAGATATGGGAAAGTTCCATAAAAATATTCCAACTAAATTTCATTAATCTTTTTAATACCTAAACTTTTTTACTATCCATTTTAATACCCTAATTAATTATTTTGCCCATTTCAAAACACAAACTTTTATAACTATGCTCATTTTAATACTTAAACTAGATTTTGACCCGCGCTTAAAAAACGGAAATTTTTTATGATTAAAAATTTATATAATTGGGTTTTGTCTTAATTTAAAGAATGTTTTGGTATAAAATTAGTTTACCAAAATTTGTGGTGATAGTTGTTTTTCATTAGTTTTTAGTTTCAGTTTTTATTTTTAGATTTTGTTTTAAATTTTTGTTTTTGGTTTTTGGTTTTTGGTTTTTAGTTTTTAAGTTTCTATTTTTGATTTTCAGCTTTTGGTTTGGGTTTTTAATTTTTAGACCCGCTGAGTTAGTTTGAACTGATATTACCAACAAACAAATCTAAATTAATCGAACATGTAATTTAAAACTGAAAAGCTGACAAAATAATTTTCTAAAAATTTTGAAATAGTTTATTTTGTTAATAAAAAAAGCAAAAAATATAACCTGCGTTTTCAGCTTTTGGTTTTGGATTTTAGTTTTTAGATTTGGTTTTTGGTTTTGCTTTACCTTTTTTTTAAATCTGTAAATTATTTAAGAAAAATAAAACAATAAAATATTTAAAAGTTACCATTAAAATTTATCAAGATAGAGGGATTGTTATTTAAAATAAAAAATATTAACATGTTTTAAAGTACATGATTTAAATAAGTGATTAATAATAGATAATTTTTTTTGTTGAAAATATTAAATATTTTTGGGCTAAAAAATATTAACATGTTTTAAAATACATGATTTAAATAAGTGTTTAATAATAGATAATTTTGTTTTGTTGAAAATATTAACTATTTTTGGGCATGAAAATAGTAATTGATTTTTGATCCATTAAGGTGGAAAGTTTATTTAATGTTTTTGAGTTTTTCTTTAATACTAAGCCCAAAAACCAAACAATTAAATGTCATAAAAACAAAAGTAAGCCCAAAACTCTATTTCATAAATAACTGCCGGTTTAATTTAAGTAACGCGGTTCAATCAACTATATAACTTGTATTATTTGTAACACTCTAGAATGGGTCCAAATTTAAATGACAACTTATATCAGTAGATAAAAAGAATGACTCTATTTTAATAGAATAGATTTTGTTTATTTTAACTAACATACTAATTAGTTTCAAACGAAATTTAAAAAAAAAATCTCAAAATCTAAGAAAAATATTTACAATTTCTAATTTTACTTAAATATTTAAAAAAAGAAGGTAAATAAACTCTGGAGAAAAATTTTAAAAAATAATTTTGAAGGAAAACAAAATTTAGTTTGTGTATTTTTTTGGAGTTTTCCCCATTGTATATAGATGTAAATACTAACTAAAAGAACAAACAATGTTTGGATGCAACATCCAGATAGTGTCATCAAATGTTGCATCAAACACAAAAACGAACATGAACTATATTTAAACTTACGCGTTGATGAGATTGTAAAGTCTAAGAACTTTATGGAGTAAGTGGTTGTAGAGGCTCCCAAGAACTCCACCAATGACACCAATCAACGTGACAGGGATTATATCAGCTACATGGTAAGTATACGTTACATGACTCACATCGAACATGATAAGCCCTCCTCTTCCAAACAACCCACACTTCCCTGACTTGCAGATCTCTATGAACTCTCTTAGTACCACCACAACAACCGCTGTGCTGAAGAAAGTCCTCCACAGTAAGGCGCTTCTCCACCAAGTGGCTACTTCCTCAAGAGCGAAAAGCACGCCTCCAACAGGTGACCTGAAGGCTGCACAGACACCAGCTGCTGAGCCACATGTAATCAAATCCCTTCTGTCTCTATCATTGTTGAAGTAACGCAGCCATCTCCACTTGATCCGGTGATTGTCTGTACCCCCTTGCCCAAGCAAAGAAGCTATGCAGGTTCCAATGTGTACTAGAGGACCTTCTTTACCTAGATCAAGTCCAGCTGAAACGGCTCCAATGCTTCCAATGATCTAATACATTACATAAGTCATTGTTAAAGTGCTTTCTTGATAATATTTTTTTCAAAGGACAAATTCAGAAACTAACAAACCTTAACGAACATAGTGGTAGCACCAAACATGTTGGGAGTATCAATGCCATTAAGATAAGCTTTGATCTCAGGAATGCCAGGACCAGCTGCCGTGGGAGCAAAGCACACACAGAGCACAGAGGAAACCAACGTTAGGCCCAAATTTGCTCCAGCAAACATCATCAGACCTGTCACATATCTGTTTCCACCACAAGACTTTTTATCCCTGATTTATGGGGTTTAAAACAATTACTAAACATATATTTTTCTTAATTGTTTTGGGGCTAAAAAATATTTACACATTAACCACTAATATTTTGGGAGCCATACGCTAATGTTTCATTTAGCTACACCCAGGACCGGCTCTTTCATTAGGTAACAAACACTGTATGAGTCCTTTATGTTTGACATAGTTAGATGAAGCTTAGTAATTGGTTTGGTTGTTTACCTTTCTTGTGCGAGGAAGTGACCAACTGCTAAAAGCTTGTAGCCAGCAATGTTTTCGACGGCTAAGTTGATGAGAGTAGCGATTAGACCAGTGAACAGACCGACAAGAAAAGCAAATGTCCATTTCAAGAATATGTATTGAAGCATTTGTGTTTTTGATCTTTTTCTCCAGTCATGTTTAAACAGATCGTTCTCGTTTATTCTGTCAATATTATCATTAACATTAAAAACTAAGTAGACCCTGGAGAAGAAGAAAAAGAAGGTAAGAAGAAGACGACATACTCATAGTCCAAGCTCTCGATGTGAGAAACTTTGGTACCGACCAATGCGAGTGGTGTGGAAGAAAGTGTTCTATTAGCCTTAACGAGAGGTTGGTTCAGTGTGTTGCTCTCTGGGTCTCCTTGTTCTTCTTCTTGTCCATTGTAATTACTACTGTTATCAATATGGTTTATAACTTCTCCCATGTCTCTCTCTCTTTCCGATAAAGAAGAACTGGCTTTTGGTCGGAAACACTGCAACAATAACTGTTTTAAGGTTCTTGAAGAGCTTTCTCTCTTAAAGAATAAAAACTCAGAATTAAAAATGGTTTTGAGGCTTTTGTCTCTATTTTGCTGTCAACCAAGTTTTATACTAGTACATGTCTACATACATACGTATGTGTAGATGCATATATTATTGTAATTAGTATTAAAATATAGGAGTTCTTTATTGTAGCTTCCCTTTCATCTATACTTGTTTTCTTTTACACAATGCTATTTGTTTTTTTTTTTTATCTGTAAACAAAGAATGCAGAAAGTTGTTTTGGTTGAAGACTGACAAATGTTAGAGCACATCCATTACTGCATACCATGATATCTTACCAATAAATATACAAATAAAAAATAAAGTAAGAGAGAAAAGAAGAATTTCTCAAGTGATTTTTTTCTTTCAAATGAGATATTTGGGAAAAATCTTATGCAAAAACAAATTATGAAACCCTTTTCAACATGTTTGTGTATGAATGATCCAAACTGATTTAAACACAAAAATTTAATTATATAACTACGTTATAATCAAATATTATTATTAGTGAGACTAGCTACTTAGAAATTCTACCTATGGGTTGCTCCTACAAGTGGATTTAAAGATTATTTGTCAATCTCTCTAATTCTCCAATTCAGCCAAGACATTACATCCCACAGATCAGCAGCACTTTTAAGCTTATCACATGTACCCACGTGTAACAGTTCCAATGCGCCAGAAATTATCGACATCTAACGGTCTGGAATCCTTGACCTCTTGAGGTTATCAAACAGACACTTCTATAGTTCTATATTCAGCAATAAAAAAAATTGGAACAGTTAGCCTACTGGAAATGGTATTTTAGACCCTTAACATTTAAAAGTGTAAGCCTCTCAAAAACAAAAAGCAAAAATATATTAATATCTTAGTTATTTATTTATTTTTAGCTATTTTGAAGAAAAAATTCAGTTAAGTGCACTTGAATAAACAGTTCTAACTTGAGTTTCTATTTTCGTAACTTTATTAAGAGCTTAAAATCTTTCTAGTAATTCTTGAAAAAAATAATCATGAGATACTATACAAGAGACCAACGATGCTAATGCTATTAGCCTATTACACTTTCTAACTATTCTTGTATCATTTATAGTTTATTTTTTTCAAGGAACTTTACCATTGTGGGTAGAAATATATTTGACAAACCATTTTCACTATCAATTGGGCCCGATAAGTAACCGTGATTCAACCTATACGAAGAAACAACAAAACTAAAAATAACAATGCGGAAAAAGTATTGAAAGTATAATGTGCAAACTACTAAACTACACCATAAGATTTTGGTTCGCGCAAGAAAGCAACAATGTACATGTGATTCATCACAAGAAGAGATCAGTTATCGAACAGTGGTCTTGTCCGTCTGTGGCCACTAAGAATTCTTGTATTATCCTATCCAAGATCAGTCGTGGTTCATGTGATTTTTGATAGGCGTCTATAGCCCTGTTCGTTTGGTTGCCGCAGGTTTCTGCGACTGCGGCTGAGTCTGCGACTGCGGCTGCGGCTGTTTATTTGTTTGTTGTTCGTTTCGCAGTCGCAGCCGCAGACTCAACCTCAGCCGCAGAGTTTTGTTCGTTTCATAGACGCAATACATCGACGCAGACACATGACGCAGAAAAATGATTTATTCTGTTCGTTTGGCAGACGCAGCCGCAGAAAGTTTTATTTTCATTTAATTCATATTTTAATTTTAAAAATTTGTAAAATTGTATTTTAAATAAAGAAAATGCTGTTTAAATATATTTTACATCCATCAAAATATTTTATTTAATAATTTTTAAATATACTAATTTAACAACATTTATTTATCATAAATATTATAATAAAACAAAGTTTTAAACCACAAAGTCTTAAACCACAAATGATATATCAAAGTATTTAACACAAAATAAAAACTAAATAATACATCAAGTCTTAAATAAATAAAACAAAGTTTTAAACCACAAAGTCTTAAACCATAAATAATATATCAAAGTATTTAACACAAAACAAAATCTAAATAATACATCAAGTCTTTAACAATAATATTTAATACGGTAAACGACCTCTACCACATTGATTTGTGATGTTCTTACGCACTTCTTCCATCACTGCATCACGAGTCGGCTCATATGAAGTACTAGCTTCTCCTTGTTCTTCACCATCACCATCAGCTTCTTCTCTTTCTCCATCATAACCACTTTGCCATTGTACAAAATCACGATCTTCCCGATGTGAATCACGTATGAATTTATGTAGTGCCATCGTCGATGTTACCAGCTTAATCCATTTTTCCAGACCATACTTTGGATGCTTACGATCCAAACACCTCCATTTTTCTTTCCATACTCCAAATGTCCTCTCAATCACTGATCGAAAACCTGAATGCTTCCGGTTGAACAACTCTCTTGCACTAACTGGTGGTCCTCCTCTAGCAAACTGACCAAGATGGTATCTCATACTAGGATGCGGACCAAGATATCCTGTCCTGGTCGGATATCCGGAGTCAACTAAATAATACTTTCCAGGAGGAGGATGTGGGAAAGAAGCCTCATTCCTCGCACAATGAGTCAACACCTTTGTATCATGTGCTCTACCAGGTACACCAAGATAAGCATATATGAACTTCATGTCAAAGTTACATATAGCAAGAACATTCATTGTAGGATCTTGCTTTCTGCCTCTGAATGCTTCTGCATTTTCAGGAGGAGGACGAACCAGAACATGAGTTCCATCAAGTGCTCCAATACAATCTCTGAAATAAGGTCAATACCGATCATCATTCCTAAAAACATGATTTACTCTTGAAAATTCACCTTCCTGTGGTTGTTGTGTATCATTTGCAAACTTTAGAAGAGCACTCAAAACATCCTCAAGCTTCCCTTTCACCGTATCATTTGCGCGTTGATATCTTTCACTTATATCCCGCACCGTCTTATCCTGACCAACCATCTCAAGAAACATTGGAACAGATTCTTCAATGTAGACATTGTGAGACTCTTGTAATCCATACCGCTCAACTAACATCTTACACAAAGACTGGAAAGTTGCTTGATTCATTCGAAGAATGTCATAACAATGTTGATCTGAATCATACATTAGTTGTTGAACATGACGCCATCCTGCTCCTTGATCTGTTATATGACGCAATCTCCCAGTAGTAACCATATCAAACACACCAAGTTCATCATCATAATCACCATCCTCATCTTCCAATATCCATCTTTTAAGCATCTACAAAATCATTAAACAAATTATCATTAATAAGTACAATAAATGTAAAGTTATACTAAACACAAAAGAATCTACCATTATAAACTAAACACAAACAAAAAAAAAACAGTAAACAATAAGACGAAATACTAAAGTCATAAGTCAAATAGCAACACAGGACCAACACGTCAGGAACTTTGCTAAGTCATAAGCAACACGTCATAAGTCATAAGCTAAACTTTGCTTACAGGACCAACACATTATAAGTCAAATAGCAACACAAATAAATGTAAACGTCAAATAAACATAAAGAGTTTCATATATAACAATACTAAAGTGATACCAAATGATACAATACTAAAGTCATATAATATTAAAACCATACTAGTTCCATCACAAAAGCAATACCAAAAGATCACAAAAGACTAGTCATAAGCTCCATACTAGTTCCAACTCTCTTGCCATTAGAACCAAACTAACTAACTACTCATCGTCACGTTTTATCTTGGTCCTAAGCTCCAGAAACTTAGTCTTAGTTTCATCTGTCTTCATTGTCATAAAACCCCTTCAGCTCCCTTCACTATCTATAAGAAGTTCAACTGCTGCTCCATAAAATGGAGACCACTCTCTCACTGCAGGCAACGCATTTAGTGTCAACAACACATTTTTAATACTAAAGGCTTCTTCACGCTCTAGCAGCCGTTACGCTATCCTATTCTTCACCTCAATAGCTGCAGTCCGTTTGTTACAAGACTCTACAACTGCATTTTCTCTTTACGCCTTCTTTTGGCCCTTGAACTTCCAGAGTGAGCTGTTGGATGAGTTTGAGCTACTGGCTGAGTTTGAGCTGCTGGCTGAGTTTTTGTCTCCAATGCTTGAGTGTTTGCTACTGGCTGAGAATCAGCTTCATCACCATCATCTCCACCCACTCTAGAACTCAAACTTGCTTCTCCATGTTGAGTACTCCATCCTTCTGCTCCAGTTACAATTACACCACAGAACTTCTCTTCTAACACATCCATATTAAGTTCCTCTTTCCATACAGATCTTCTAATCCATGGACACTCCTATAAATAGAAAAAAAACACAAGTGAGTGATTTCAGAAAACAAATAACCATAAACACAAATGACAGGTTAAGTAATATTCTTTATCAAACATAAACACACAATCACATCTGAAACATATCACACAACCACGTATTCTTTATCACGTCTGAAACCATTGTGAAATATTCAATCTTGAAGAAGTCAAACAATACTCAAACAATCCATACAATCGAAATAGCTATTGCACTGTAACTCCATTTAAATTCATTAATACAAAACAGCTAATTCATAGCAACATGACGATTAAGAATACACAGAGAGACAGAGAGCTAAAGTGTGTTAATTAAGAATAAGGGTTGTGTTTAATAAGTGTCTTAATTCATAGCAACATGACGTTTAATACAGAGAGACAGAGAGCTAAAGTGTGTTAATTAAGAATCATCTCAGAACATGACACACATGTTTTTGCTGAACATAAATACACATAAGTAAATCACAGAACATAAATACACAGAAAAGAGTTAAGGAAAACTGACCTTTTCGCATTTATTCCACCAATCATCAGACATATCAATTCTTCCCAAGTTATCATATCCAAGCCCTGTCATATTCTTAACCAACCTCCTAAACTTGGTGTATTTCTTCCTGCAGTTGTCGTATTTGTTCTTGAAA